TTTTTTCAACGTTTATTTATTTTTGGGACAGAGAGAGACAGAGCATGAACGGGGGAGGGTCAGAGAGAGAGGGAGACACAGAATCGGAAACAGGCTCCAGGCTCCGAGCCATCCGCCCAGAGCCTGACGCGGGGCTCGAACTCACGGACCGCGAGATCGTGACCTGGCTGAAGTCGGACGCTTAACCGACTGCGCCACCCAGGCGCCCCTGACAAATGATTCTTTTAATATTAGCTTCTTTTATTGTTAGCTTCTTTTATTGAGTGCTTACTATGTCCAAATAACTCTTGCAAATACTTTAGTTGATCCCTTTGTCAACCCTGGGAAGGTAGGTGCTGTTATCATAAGCATTTTCCATACCGGAAAGTGGAGGCCTAGATAAATTGAGTAATTTGTGAGAGTCACACAGATTAAGAAATGGCAGAATGAGAAACCCAGGTGGTCTGCGTCTACACTCTATGCTCCTAAACTGTGCTGTATCGCTTCTCTCGTTGCAAAATAGTTCAGAATGAATGGGCAATAATTTACTCAATCATCTCCCTATAGATGGAGATTTGACGGGATTTCCTTTTGTTCCTCTTCTTATTTTGCTACTTCCAACAATGTTGAAATAAACAACACTGAAATATACATACTGATACTCTTATCTGTTAAAAAGAACCCCATGTGAATTTCTTCCTGTGCGAATTTGGGAGAACCCTACCAACCCTGGGACTTTTGGTCCTGGTTCCAGTGACCAGGTAGGAATTCCTGCTTCATCAGTTCCTCTGAACTCTCCACATATCTCTCTAGCTCAGAGCAGACCGCAGAGGCCTGTTTAAGTCAACGCAACTTGCATTTAGAAACGAGAGGAAGTGAACTGTAAGGGATTATCCTTTCCTAGATGTGTCAGATGCAATCACACGGCATGGATTTATGAAGCGGAGTGAAATATTTGTTTTGATTGCTCACTGATTAAGAATACACTCTAATGCACAATCTTGACAGACATCTAGGGCAACTACCCTTACTTTAAGAATCTGGGTCAGGTTTGCCCAACTTCTTCTAATTCAGCAGTCTCATTTCATTAAAGGATTATGCAAAGAAACCTCAGCTGGGTCCACACAATTGGCTGCTTCATCTTTGGTATTTAATATTGCAGGACCCCAGCAGTCACCAATGTTATTGTCCATTGGTTTGTAATGTCTTCTTCCTCATTGTTTAGTATAGAGTTAGAAAAGCGGTTAGCTCATAAGCGGGGAGCTTATGAAAAATGGACATACTGTATGAAAACTGGACATATAATTTAATAATTTAAAATAATTCATTAAGATATTTGAGGTGAGGTGTTGGACTAACCCCATATGTTGGAGGTGCTTAAAAAGGGGGTTTGCAAAATTATTTAAATGGAAATGTTTAAAAATCTCAAGAGGAATGTTTAAAAAATTTAATCTAGAAGCACTGCAGGGCAGGTATTTATCAACAGATTGCTACAATGTACTAACATGAAATTGGACAGTGAAAGAGTTTTAGTTATTTTAAAGTAAACTATCCAGGGAAATGCAGAGAAGAAAGTCATAGCATAAACAGGGGGATCTTATGTTTGTGGCTAGGTAGTGTATTTCTGTGTGGGGTAAGGGGTGAGGGTGGATAAGCATGTGGTCTCCTTTAATTTTTTCAGGACAATGTAGGCTTTAGGATAACCAAGAGTCACTCTATACAATGTATGTTTGAAAGAAATGCATTCAAGATCTTAAAAATTGATGTTTGCCTATGTAAGAACTTCTGCTTCAAAAGCAAAGCATCTACATCATTTCTGTTCTGAAGTGTTTGTCTTTCTCTCCTTAACAGCCTTCTCCCTTTTTATTTGCATTTCTGTGGGTGTAGGGGAAGGGCACAGGAGCATTTAGGGAGGAAGCCTTGTCCTTAAGCATGCAGTTTGCAGGCCTCAATCCATTCTTTTATTCTGTTCATGCAAGGGTGGGAAATGTGGCAGATATTTTAACCCTCCCACATTATCTAGAATACCACTCTTCCCCAGCGAGAGCCTGTTTCTACATCCATGGTGCTGATTAAGATGCTAATTTCACCAGTGGAGCTCTATTTCTGAACTCTATACTCATTAGCAAAAGCACAGGTGAGGACTGAGATATGTATACCTGAGTGCAATAGCAGAGTCCCTCTGGTGTGTGGACTTTCACCCCAAGACTGTGGGTTCCTGATTAGGACAACTCACTGCCCCTTGAGTAAAGCTTAAGCCAACGAACACATTATTGTGTTCCATTGTCTTTACTAAAGATTTTAAAGTAAATCATAGACATTTAACTGGAAGGACCTATGAAGCCCTTAAACTCAGCTGCCCTCCGTTTTATTTCTATCTTTCTATATTCATACAGATTTTGCCTTTGGCCACATATTTCCATTTCTAGCTCAGTTCCAGCCCCAGTATTACTCATGATGACAGTTCTCTTTTTACACCTAAGTCTATGAAAAAGCATCATTACTTTTTTGAGTGACCATTTAAGTTACTTTATGTACTATCGCTGTTGTGCTAGGCACAATGTTTTGGCCTTAAAGACGTAAAGCTCTGCCAAAAAAGAAAAATATTTACAAATTTCTCCCTGGTGTGGAATGCCTTACACTTTGGTCCTTTAGGGCACTGCTTCCCTTTCACCTGTGAAGTGAGGGCCTTGAAACTTCCCTGTGAGCTCCGATCATCGGAGATGGTCTTCCTTGCCCTAGCAGTTACACATTAGGCTAAGTCTGCAGCCGCTTGTGAGGCAAAGCCGTGGAACAGGGTCTGCATTATATTTTATTATTATTATTTTTTAGAGAGAGAGACAGCGAGCATAAGCTGGGGAGAGAGGCAGAGGGAAAGAGAGAATCTTAAGCAGGCTTCATGCTGAGCATGGAGCCCAACACAGGGCTCGATCACATGAGCCTGGGATTATGACCAAAGCCAAAATCCAGAGTGAGATGCTCAACAGACTGAGCCACCCAGACGCTGACTTGGGTGTAGGTATTTTCCTTTATGACGGTGAATCAGAGAACTCTGGACATTGCTAAGTGATAATCCAGCCAGCTCTGTTCCTGTAATGACTAGTGGACGTGTATGGTGATTGTGCCAAGATTCTGCCATAGGTGAGGTATCCTTTAGGCCAGGGGGTACATCAGAGGGAGAATCCATGGAATTCAACTGGCTTCCTTCAATTTTTATGCAATAATTAATCAAAAAAACATGAAGAGTGTGACAGTCTTCCCATGTTTGCTTTTAAATTGAGTTTTGCCCTCTATGCAGGTGGCATAATTTGTTCAAGGCAGCAGACTCTGCCTCTGAATATTGAGAGTTGTTTTAGATGGAATAATGAGCTGGTATTGATGTCTGTATTTACTATCAATTTAAATATTATTTTATAATTTTTTTTGTTTTAGTGTTCATTTCTTCTTTAATGATAGTTACTCCCATTACACAGAAATTCAATATAGTGAAACTTAAGAATCTATAGGTGTAGGTATTTATTCAATTTTTGGTACCTGTTGACTGAATTCAAGGAATTGCAGACCTTTGCTGATATTTCAATAAAAGGACTTTGTCATTTGTTCATTTGTTAATATATTCTACTGGTTGTTTCTCTCTCTGCTTTCCCTTCTTCAGTTTGCAAGGTTTTGTTCATCTCCAAAAGGGAGCAGTTTAGGCCACGTGCTTCAATACTTCCTGAGCCTTCTATTCCCTGGAACATATGGGGAAGAAAGATTGGCAGAAATTGGCTGCTTTTTCAGCCCATTTTTCCCCCCTGGATAATTTAATTCAGTTCTTTGCTCTTCCTTTAAGTCATCAAACCATCAGATCAAGCAAAGAAAAAAAGTATACTTATGGTCATATTTGATTATTCTTAATTTATTAGAAAGTAAACATGTAAGGATAGAATATTATATTTTTCTATAGCCTTAAAGTGTGCTTTTTATTGTGTTTTTAGCTAGATTTTTATCTCTCCCACCTTGCTGCCATTATCCTTTAGAATAATATACCTTTTTATGCCTCTTCTTGTGACTCTTGATGAAATTTCATGACCCTATGATTCTCCTTTAAATTCATGTTTGGTCAATCTATTTCCTTTTTCGGAGCCACTCGTTAGTTTTTTCTACCTTGTTCTGTGCCCTGGCAGTGGGACAGCTTCAGCGGGGCTGCCTCATCCTCTGGCTCTTGGTTGGTTTGGCCAGCGGAGGTATTGGTGGGGATTAGAGGGAGGGAAGAGGGCGGGGCCTGTGCATCCATGGCCCCTCCCCTCTCTTTGTAGCATCCAGGGCATTGGCTGCATTTCTGGACAGTCTTAGGTTTTCTGTAAACTGTCCCCGGCCACACCGCTACTTTGTTTCCAAATTCCAGCAGCCCTCTTTGTCCTTTCAGGCTTATGGATATTAACAAGGACCACCAATAACCAACTGCATTGGTTCTTGAGGTTTCCTGCCTCTAGCCCACCCCATCGTAGACAGGCTCTTTGTAAAACTTTCCTCAAGTTATTACACTGGAACGTGCCATCCGTGCCTTGTTGGGGCCCTGACGGAGAGGATACTATAATAAATGCCTGTATTACTGAGAGGTAGTATGGTCTAATGGTTATCTTCCATTTGACACCAGACCGATTTGGGTTCGAATACATTCCCATCACTTGCTAACTTGGAGTGGGGATTATTTTACCACTCTGCGCCTCACTTTTTTCAAATTTAAAGTGGGGATAATATTACCTACCTCACAGAATTGCTATAAGAATATGTATGAGTATTCAGAAATGTTAAGTATCATATTAGTTTAAATACATACATACATATATATGTATAGATACAATGTTTTAGTTTCCTCTCAATTTACACTGAATAACTTCCTCACTGGGGAAGCCTGAGCAGTTACAAAGCAGTCGATTTTAGTTCCTCTACACTCTGTGCTGCTGATCTTCCAGTTTCAAGTTATGTGGACCTCCTCTTCCCTTGTGCCCCTGGAGTTTCTGCTGATCTAAATGACACTTTGTTTCCCACGGGTGGTTCTGGCTGCTCTCACCTCAAGTCTGTGGAATTTTCAGAAGACTCTCATTCAAGTGGTGAGTGCTAGACACAGGGGGTCCCTGGTGAAGTGAAAATGTGCTCAAGGGTGGGCATCTTAGCCCTGAGTGTTGGCTGCAGACTGCTCAGGTGCTATGCATCCTTGGGTAATCCAAGTGCTTTACAAGATAACTGGGTTTTGTTTCTATCTGCTTTAAACTATATCTCTAAAATGTTATGAGAACACTGGCTAAGCCTAGAGAGGTGTTGCAAGGATTAGCTAATTGATTATTTTAAATGCTTTGAAGCTGGCAGAGGGTTCAGTAGGAAGGACAAGCTAAATAATTTTTGCAGGCTCAGTGGGAGTGCAAAGTGTACTAAATGACTCTTCTAATTTGTTTTGGTCTCTAGTAGGACTTGCTTATTGTATAACATGTCTCCTTAAAATGAGTTATGTATGTTACTGCATTTAAAGCATGACCTGGGGAAATGTTTTAAGATAAAAAGGTGTTTGGAAAATACACAAAACTTTTGTCAAATGGAGTTGCAGTTACTGAAGCCACCTGAGTTTTTCTGACTCCAGAAACAAAGATATCGGGACACTGGCATATTTACGTATTTTCCCCTCTTTCGAGTATAGTAAGCATTTTCTTCACTGTACTGTGTCTAGTACACAGTACTAGTCCATTGGCATCTAGTCCATTGGTTTTTATGAGCTTGAAACCCTGAGCTATTAAAGGGTAAGCCTGTGGTATGGCTGGGGGATCCATCCCTCCAACCCTGAAGAGTGATTAACACAGAAGCATTAAAAACACAGCCCATTTTCTTTTTAAATGACTTAGAATTGGCTGAGTGTTTAATACTTTACTCCTGCTGGGACTTCTGTCCAGTATCCTCACCTCATCTTTGGAGACAGATGACTTTCCAGGGTGGCGAGCCAGGGAAACAGATCATTACATTTTTCTCTTTAACTACACACTGGATAAGCAATCCACTATTTATTGATTTAGAAAAATTCTTGTCTTGGATTTAAGATCCAGTTGAATGGGATATAGATGTCTGAGGTTCTTTTAATATCTCATTAAAAAAAAAAAGATTAAACAAATTCCATGGTCTAGATGTCCCAACATCAAGCTCATATCCTGCTACTTCCAAAATATTTTAATATGGAAGAAATAGATTCACTAAAACTGGAAGGAAAAAAGAAATGGAGAAAACATCCTGAACAAGTAACATGTAAGTTGAGATGTGTGCAGGACGAGGGGTCCCTGCCTGGGTGGTTGTGGAAGGAAGAGTACATGTTGATGATGGGCAAGCACCTTGGATCTCCGTGTCAGTGTTGATTGCCACTTGCTTCTTCACTTTTTTTCCCTCTGCTTTTTCAAAGTTGCAGAGCCTCCATTCCTGGTTCCCACAATTGCCTTCTTTATTAGGTCTGCAGGGGAGGCTCTTCATTTTAGACACATGTAGCACAGCTGTAAGTTGTACCATTTTTTACTACAGATCCCTAAAGTTAGATGAGCCCTAAAGAAATAACTTAGTCTAGAATTTCTTGCCTTCTCTTTTGAAAGATCCCTGCAGAGAGGAACGATGTCTTTAGTTGAGTAAAGAGACTTTGGCAGGGCTGATCCTAATACATTCCTTGCAAGCTAAATTTACAAAGAAAGAGGAGGAGATCTGTCTTCTGGATACTTAAAATCTAAGATGAAAGATGAAGTATAGAGTAATGGATGGGACTGACTATTCTAGTTCTCATCTACAATGCACAGACCTTATGATGTTGTTGTTGTTGTTATTAAGAGTGAGACATGGAACAACTATCTCACCAGTTCTGTAGTGACAGACTCAGAATGCCTTGCCTCTTAGAACTTCTCTTTGCTTGCACTGACCCTCCGCTTAAGAAATCCGCTAATCCAAAGGTGCACCTACTTTTCATACCTTATCTAAGAACTCTGAGCCCAACCTGTAAGCCATAAAAAATTGAATTTCCCTAATGAGACATTATTTCAGAATGTGTGTGTTTTCTCTTGCCTCAATGATTCAGTAAAACTCAAAATAATACTAAAAAATAAAACTCAAAATAAAAGCTTGCTTATGTCCTTACAAGGGCTTTTCCACATAGACAAATTTTAAAAATGCATCCTTTGAGGGTCTGGAGGAAGGTTTTTGGCTGAGGGTGAAGACTGAAAAGTTCACTGAAGTTCATGTTCGGTTTGGATCTGCTGACCAGACAGCATGATGGGGTGCTTTGGCAGTTTCCTCCATCAGGGCATCTGCTTACCCAGTTTCTCCCTGATGTCCCCAAGGGAACTTCTTCCAGGATCTCTTCATAGAGTTTTACAATTTCTGGCATAAGTATTTGTTGGGTGATCAAAGGCTTGGACGCCAAGGTTCTCTGAAGACCCTTAACATTTCTGAGGGTCATCCCCAGAGATATTCAAGATTTGCAAACACCTCTGTAGTGTGTAAGTCCCCCACAGGATGTGTTTTTTTTTTTTGTTTTGTTTTGTTTTGTTTTTTTTTTTTCACTGGCTGGAGAAGTCACCAAAATAGTTTCAGGATTCCTTTCCCCACTGTTTTCATATAGAGCATATTGTGGACTCTTTCAAGTCCTAGATCCAAGTTCATTGCCAAATTTAGCATTCTGCCCTTTCATGTATCCAAAATTCCCATGGGAATTCAAGACTTGTTCTCATAGCTCTCAAGAATCCCCAGAGAATTTCAAATTATGCTCCAAGTACTAGGTTTCTTTCATTCATCTTGCTGTATTTCCTCTGATGCTACAAGATGGCACTTTTCCCATCTGGTGGCAACTGCGGTGGCCTCCTGTGGCCGTGTTCCTTTTGCTGCTTGGCCTGAGAGTGGCTTCTATATGGCTCTTGTCCACTGAAACCACTGCTGAAGCTAGTACTTCTGTTGTTGATGCCAGCCAATACCAATTCCCAGGGTGCCAGTGCCTGGTGGTGGGGCCCTGTTATCTGTACCAGGAGGGCAGCTTCCCAGGCCACAAAGCTACGAGCACCAAGGCTGGGATGCCCTATTTCAGAGATTACAACTGTGGTTGTAATCCTTCCTCTTTAAATCATCTTTCCTCTTTAAATCAAGCTGAAGTACAAAATGATTCAAGATAGAAGAAGATTCAGAGACACTTGTAACATAAAAATGTACAAGAGATCAGGTCTTGATCTAAGGGTCATGAGTTCAAGACATTGGGCTCTGTGCTGTGTGTGAAGCCTATTAAAAAAATCCAACTAATTGTGTTCTATACTATGGTTCAGTTCGAAAGCCGGTGTGTAAAACAATTTGAAAATACCCAAAGTCACCCTCGAAATTCCCTTAAATTTCTCCTAGACTACGTATAAATGGGCGCATTTACGTGCTACACTGAAGATCGATATATTATCTTCTGATTAATCAGACACAGCTGGTTTTCCCACTGACATTGAAACAAACCATTATTTCTTTGACTGCTAAAAGTAGTTGACTTGTGTTTAGAGGCCATGTTGTATCAGAAATATGGATCTTTAAATACTAAAAGCCTATGGAATCCAGTAAGATATTCATGCTCTGAGAGGTTAAAACTGAAGTGGACTAAGGGACAATGTGGTTTTCGTTATACCCATTTTTTTTTAAAAGTTAAACTGAGGCCCAGGGAGTTCAGGTGACCTGCACATTTAGAGAGAGACGGAGCTGGCGTCTAAACTTAGGCAGTCTGGCTCTTGTGATCTTGCTCTTAATTGCGTTGCTTTATACTTTTAACCATGATTGCACAACTCAAATGATCTTTTCTCTCTCTCTTTTCACTCTGGCCAGGGTGGAATTTACCAATTTAAATGTTTTTAATGGTGTGACTCCATTGCACTTTCTTGTTGTAGCAAAAATCAAGCTATACTGCAAGGCATCATGTATACAAAGAGATGATGCTCTGTGTTCTCGCCCTTAGACAGAACAAATGTTAACAGCTTGTGCATTTCCCCCCAGGATTTCTTTATTTCTGCCCCCCCCCAACCTCCAGGATTTCTTTTATGCATGCACTCACACACATTTTTTTAAACACACACTTTACTCTAATTTCCTTTTTCACTTATCAATGTCAGAGACATCTTTCTATGACAGAATGTAGAATTCCACCTCCTTCTTTTAAAGAGCTTCTTTAGTGGGTACCTATGATTCCACTGCATGAATAATCCATCATTTATGTTTGTGTATTCCCTTACTGATGGATACTCAGGCTTAGAAAAAATTTTGCCAGGTTTTTACGATTCTAAACTCTGTGGCCAACATGCTCATTTGTTGTCTTAGTATGTTGTGGATTTACTTTTTAGCCTTAAATCTTTAATCCACATGGAATTTGTTTTGTGCAAGAGGTGAGGTGGGGATTATAGTGATTTCTTGACTTTCCTCATTCAAATGATTACCCACCTGAAGAGATTCAGTCTCCAGGCACCCAGGTAAACACGTTGCATCTGTTATAGGAATACATTAAAAACTGTAATAATGGGAATCTCTATGGTGGAAAATGATCGGCAGCATGTTGAGAAGAGGTAGCAGAAACAGCAGGCTCTTCCAGTATGGACTAGAGCAGGGAGCTCTGCTTTGGGGTTGGAATGCTGCATTTTAATTAGCAATATTACTCCCAAATGTTTAGCTGCAACAGTGGGGGGATTAGAGACCCCTGCCTGCTCATCATAATTCAGAACCTGAACATCAGAGTGTCTAATTAGATCTCTCTCTTGAAAGGTCAGCCAATGAAATTGTCATGTTGTGTCACTCAAGGTCTAGAAGTTACTCTGCTATAAGCTTGATGGATTTTTTTTTTTTTTTTTAAACTTAAAATTTGCCTGTTCACGTCTAGGGTCTCTTGGCAGTCTTTGCTGGATGGAGATTCTGGTAGGCCATCATGCAAAAGACCTAGGAAATCTTTCAGCCACTTAGAACAATTCTTATCCTTTATATTATTTTTCTTTATCACTTTGGACACTATGCTGCAGAGGACATGTGTATCATCATAAGCTCTTTGGTGTATATTCCTATTCACAAGGAAAACAATATTCCATTC